ACATCTAGTAACTAAAACATGAAAAAAATAAAGTTTTGAATTAAAATATAAATTACTAAAATAAAAAGGACCAAATAAATAACCAAAAACCTAAAAGGAAGTGAGATTATTATTCATCAAGACTCAAAAAACTATTCATTATAATAATAATATAATAACAAAATTGTCCTTGAACTTTAAAACATTTGAATTAAGCATTGACAAGAATGTTATCTTTTTATCATCTTTTTTAAAATTGTGCAAGAGCATACTAGTCTTCTCATTATTTTTTGTATAATAAAATTACATAGTTGCCTCTCAAATAGAAATTAGTTTAACTTACATTTATGGGCATTTTAATCTTTTCAATTTTTTAAAAACAATAAAATGATTTTATTTCCCCTAAAAAAAATTCCACTAAACTCCTTCACGGGGCTTTTTTGGACCTTTTAACTGGTTTTCTTTTATTAATATAAAGGGCATTTAGGGTATTTTATTGTTTATTAAATATTATTTTTTAAAAAACATTATTAATATATGCTACACATGCATTATTAAATGGACATCTCTCGTGTTTTTTTGACAATACATGTAGGGTAGAATAATCACCAAACATCTTTTTTTAATGTTGGTTAGATGCTAATGACCATTTCTTTTATTTTTCTTTTTCTTTCTCTCTCCACTTCTAATGTTGCGCCAACCTTTTTAAAATTTTAGACCAACCCTTCTATTTTCTTCTTACTTGACATTTGGCCCTAAATTTTTTTATTGCTATTTTTTTTATTTTGAATAATTTATAAAATTATTATTTTTTTTAATTTTATCCCCTTTTATTTTTTAATCTTTCAAATTTAGTACTCATTCTTTTGATTGCTATTGTTTTGTCTAGGATTATTTTATAAATTGTCTTTTTCCCATATCAAATTAGATCTCTATTCTTCTAATTATTATTTGTTTTGTTTGAGATTATTTTTAATTTTTTTTACAATTTCATCCTTTTTATGTTTATTTTTTTTATCAAATTTAATCCTTATTATCTTGATTTCTATTTTTTTAACTTTGGCAAAAAAAATTTCAATTTCACCCCTTTCATTTTTTTAACTTTCAAATTTGGGTCTCATTCTTTTGATTACTATTTGTTTTGTTTTAAATAATTTTTTGAAAAATGTTTTTTTATAATTTCATCATGCTTAACTTTTTTTATTATAAAATTTGATTCTCATTGTTTGTTTTTTCACTTTAGTAAATTTTTTAAATTTTTATTTTTTCTTTAAAATTAAATTGATTTGGAATTAATCTTTTCTATTGAGCCCAAGGGTTGCGAGTTTGAGAGGTTCACTTAGGTTTACTTGATTTTTTTTCTTTTTTTAAGATCATTTTTTTTAGTTTTGTCCTTCGATATTTATTCAATTAGAGACTAGGCTATATTATTTTTATTTATTTTTTTTCTGTTGGGTTTTTCATTAATTTTAAAAACGACCTAGGTTATCTCATGTCTATTTATTTATTATTTTTTTTGTTGAATCTTCTTTGACTAATTCTCTAGGTTGATATATCTTTTTTCTATTCTATTATTCAATATTAATTGGTTGAGAATTGAGTTTTTTTATTTAGCCTGGGTC